TCTTGTGAAATTCAACAAATCTCCACTTTGGCAAGATTCCACTTTTTCAATTTTCTCTCACTGGTAAATTTTAATTGTGTCTTCAACTTCAAAGTTCAACAATGTTGATCAAGTCCAAACAATGTTGAAACTTGATCGCAGTCACTACTTTTGTTAGTATATCGGCAGAGTTGTCCGTAGTACGAATTTTCTGCATCATGACTCCACCTTCTTCTATAATATCTCATATAAAGTGATATTGAACGTCAATGTGCTTCGTCCTTGCATGATAAACTTGGTTCTTTGCTAATTGTATAGCACCTTGACTATCACAAAATAGTGTGATGCTTTCTTGACCAATACAAGCTCTCTAAGCAACCCTTGAAGCCAAATTGCCTCCTTTACAGCCTCTGTAGTTGCCATGTACCCAATCTCAGTAGTAGACAAAGCAACAATTGACTGCAAAGTAGATTTCCAACTAACTAGTGCATTTGCAAAAGTAAAAATATAACCAGTAGTTGATCTACGCTTGTCCAAACCACCCGCATAATCCGAGTCACAATATCCAACCAGATACTGACTATCTTCCTGCTTAAAAAATAATCCTACATCTACAGTATTACGAATATACCGTAGAATCTATTTTACAGATTGTCAATGCTCCTTTCCTGGATCTTGCATATACCTGCTTACAACTCTGATAGCATGTGAAATATTAGGTCTTGTGCAAACCACTGCATACATCAAGCTACCAACGGCATTCGCATATGGTACCCTTGACATATACTCGTTTCATTCTTCGGTGACATAGCAGCACTAAGCTTAAAGTGAGGAGCAAACGAAATGCTAACCGACTTCGTGTTCTCATTCATTCCAAATTGATCTATTACTCTCTTCAAGTATTCTTTCTGAGATAGATAGAGTTTCTTTGAAAGTCTATCTCCTTTTATCTCCATGCCAAGAATTTTCTTCGCCTCACCCAAATCCTTCATCTCAAACTCCTTTTTTTAGTTGAATCTTCAACTTCTCAATTTCCTCTTAACTTTTTGAAGCTATCAACATATCATCAACATATATGAGAAGACATATGAAGGCTCAGTATTCAAGTTTGCGCAAATACACACAATGATCGTACTTTCTTCTGTACTTCTGCCGCAACATAAACTTGTCAAATCGTTTGTATCATTGTCTAGAAGATTGTTTCAATCCGTACTACGATTTTTCAAGCTTACACATCATATTTTCTTTTCCAGCAACTTTGAATCCTTCTGGCTGAGTCATAAAGATTTCCTCTTCCAAATCTCCATGTAAAAATGCAGTTTTTACATCTAATTGAACTAGTTCCAAATTCAAATATGCTACCAAAGCTAGCAAAATTCTAATGGGGGAGTGTTTCACGACCGGAGAAAACACCTCATTATAATCAATTCCCTCCTTTTGAGCGTATCTATTGGCCACGAATCTTGCTTTGTAGCAAATATCTTCTTGGTTAGGAAATCCTTCTTTCTTTTCAAATACCCATTTGCACCCAATTAATTTAATGCCCTTCGGGAGATTGGCCAAGTTCCATGTGTGATTCTGATGAAGGGGCTACATTTCTTAATTCATGGAAATCCTCCACTTATATTCTTCTGAATTTTGGACTGCATCTTTATAAGTGGTTGGAATACCATCAGCTACAATTAAGGCTGCACAAGCCACCGTCTCTATGAGACGAACGGGTTTCTTTATTGTTCTTTTTGGCTTGTTGGTTGCTATTAATTCAAGTTGTTGTTGAGTTTCCTGAGTTGGAATCTCCCTCTCCACTGTCTCTTCTTCCATAGCAAAATCTTCTATTGTTTCCTCGTTTTCTTCCTGTGTTGGGAAAATTAATTTTCCCTCGAACTCCACCTGCTTTGAAGCACCATCAGTTTGTTTGACATCTCTGTCACCTTATATGTTATGGCAAATTCATCAAAGGTATCATCTCTGCTTAATATAATTTTTCTTGTCTCTGAAAACCATAAGCGGTATCCTTTGACTCCAGAAGTAATCTCCATAAATATAGCTTTCTTTGCTCTCAGATCCAATTTTGACTCTTTCACATGATAGTATGCAATTGAGCCAAATACATGTAAAAAAACTATAATTTTCAGCAGGTTTTTCATACCATTTTCAAATGGTGTCTTGCCACCAATAGCGGCTGATGGTAGACGATTAATGAGGTGGCATGCATATGTTATTGCCTCAGCTCAAAATTCTTTGTTGAAGCCAGCATTGGACAACATACACCGAACCTTCTCCAGCAAAGTCCGGTTCATACGTCCTGCCACTCTATTCTGTTGTGGTGTATTTATCACGGTGAAATGTTTCAAAATGCCATCATCTTCACAAATCTTATTGTAAAGAGCATTTTTGTATTTTCTACTGTTGTCTGTGCGAAGACACTTTATCTTTCTGCTTGTTTAAGTCTCACGTTGTCTTCCATATGAGAAAAATTCCCAACACCTCATCTTTGGTTTTCATCGTATACACCCACACTCGCTGGAAAAATTCATCAACAAAAGGTTACAAAGTAATGTTTCCCACCTAATGAAGGTGTTTTGGAAGCAACCAAACATCAGATTGAACTTAATCCAAAATACCTTTAGTATTATGGATAGTTGTTCCAAATTTAACCCTTTTCTGTTTCCCCTTGACACAATGCTCGCAAAACTCCAAATTTCAAGTAATTACTCGTTTTAACAATCCTTGATCTTATAAAATTTTCAAGAATTTTCCTCCAGCATGTCCCAAGCGCATGTCCCATAGCTTGGTTGCTTTTGCCTCATTGTCGTCACTGGATGTCATTGTTGTTGTCCTAATAACCGTACTACCGTGATAGTGGTACATGTTATTATTTTGCCCAATTCCCTTCATCACCACTATTGCACCAGAGCATATTCTCATTATCCTATTTTCTGTAACGACTTTGAACCCCTTTGACTCTAGGGCTCTTACAAAAATGAGATTTTTCTTCAATTCCCATATGTATCAAACATCTTTTAATGTTCTGATCAATCCATCATGGTTTCTTAGTCGGATTGAACCAATAACATATGTGGTAAAAGGATTGTTATTTGCGGTGTGAATAACTACACATTCTCCTTCTTGAAAATCAACGAACCTATCCTGGTTGGGACACATATTATAGCTACAAGCTGAATCCATCAACCATATGTCACATGGTTTGAATGGCTCAGTTGTAACTACTAAGAAATTAGAGTCGTCACAATTAGCTACATTTGAATACATGGCAGCCTTCCCATTGGTAGGTTTGGCCTTGTTTTTCAACTTTGGACAGTCTTTCTTCCAGTGCTCCTTTTCTCGACAAAAGGTGCATTCAGCTTTGCTGGGTCTAGATCTTGACTTTGATCTTCCTTTCTTCGTTCTCATATGGTTTTAAGAACGACCTCTCACGACCAGTGCTTCTTCTTCCCCACTCTTTTGTTTTTCTCTCTTTCTTTGTTCATAGCTGTACAAGGCAGAACAAACTTCTTTGAAAGATACTTCATCATTCCTATGAAGTAGAGTTGTTTCGAGGTGCTCGTACTCAACGGGAAGTGAACTTAATAACATTAAGGTCATATCTCCATCACTAAAAGTCATATCCATATTCTGCAAATATGTCGCCAACTTATTAAAGATGGTGATATGATCATTCATTGCAGTATCAGGAACATATGTGAAGCGTAACCGTCTTTTTTTCATGTAAAGTTTATTTTGACTATTTTTCTTCAAGAATTTATCCTCCAATGCATTCCACAATTCACTTGCAGAAGTTTCTTTTGTGTATGGATACTTCTGTTCTCTTGCGAGGTAAGATCGAATGGTACCACAAGCAACGCGGTTGATAATCTTCCAATCTTCTTCTCCGATATTGTCTGTTTTTTTTTTCTTATATGGTAATATCTAGCCCTTTTTGAAAAGGACATCAAGAACCTCAGCTTGCCACATCCAGAAATGTCTTGACCCGTCAAAAATTTCAACTGCAAATTTCGCATTTAACATAAATCTTGTCATAAGTGAAGATGCCAACGACGTATTACTGACACCCGATGTGGACTCTTCATTTTTATTATCTCCCATTTTTGCTACAGATACTATTTATTTGCTGACAGTACGGAACACCAAAGTAATTCTTTTTGGATGTGGAAGTTCAGACTATGCTGCAACCACAAAGCATACTCAGATTGAACCTTGACTCGGATACAAATTGTTACGGAAGCAAAATATATAGAGAGTGATTAAATTACAACTACTATATCTAAAGGTAGCTAATAAATAGTAAGTGAGATAATAATAAAAAGAAAACCAAAAGTTTACGAGGTTCGGCAAAATTTGGTTTTTGCCTAGTCTTCGGACACAATCAACTCAAACTTTATTTCACGCCAAAAATACTAGTGAAATACTACAAAAGAGAGAGAAGATTAAAATGCCATAGGAGATAAGAAGGCAAGTGAGAGATATTTACAAATGAACAAAACCCTTACTATTTATAGAAGGGAAATGGCCTTAATAATGTCATGCATGACATCATATTAAGTGTGATCATGCAATGTACGTAAATGCATGAAAAAATACATCTACCAATTTCCTCCTAATATGAGGCTTTCAAATGTTCACATTAGTTCACATTAATCTTGTCAAATTCAACACAAATATCTATGTCGCAATTATTTCTTAGCTCTAGAGTGCAGATAAATCTGCGCGTACTACGTATCAGATAGTGTTGTTAGAAAATACAATTTTCAGAAGAATCAACAAAGAACTGAATCAAATAAAAGATATGCCATATATATATATATATATTACGTATCATTATATACATATACAAGTTCACTCGAGTTATGTAAACAAGAATGATGCCACATACGGTTGAGTTTTGGCAAACCGCGTGACCCAAACTAGTTGTAAGAAAATACAGCAAAAACACATATGGTCACTCAACCCTTGTCAGATGGCAATAAGTACAAAAATTGAAGTGTTTGAAGCACGTATCTTCAATCATCATCCTCGTCTTCCTCATCTTCATCATCTTCCTCCTCCTCTTCTTCTTCACCCTACATATTTGTCGAGCACTAGTAAGTCCGATATGAAACATAGGTTTTGTAGAATTGAAGCATACATTTCCTGATCTATTACAACAACTAATTGAAGCTGGGTGGGATACAAATAATTTATGTTTAAAGTTCCCGAAAGAAATGTCGATTGAGGAGCTTCCTGAAGGTACAAGAGGGGGTGAATTGCTTATTTTTAATAAATTTTATAAGTAGTTGACTAGTTTATCAATTAGTCGACTTGAAATAAGAACATTATAATAATAATAAATGCAGGAATTAAAGACACCAGAATTTTTATACTGGTTCGGATTCAATGTGAATCCTAGTCCAGTTCCCTTGGGTTTCAAGGGTGTGCTCTTTCAGTGATTGATGTTTCTTGAGTACAGAATGAATGGCGTAGCTTTACACCAATAGTTCAATCTCTATGTCTCTATTATTTTCTTGATACAATGCCTCACCAGTGTTTATCTCTTTTTCTTCTCTCACTAGTTACACAACAGATCTAATGAAACTACAACGCTTGTTTGGAGTAGAACAAAAAGAGTGTAGATGGTTCGATCAAAGAATATAGAATATAATATTACGTCAGGAGCATATGTGTGTGTGTATATATATATATATATATATATATATATATATATATATATATGAGGTCTTCACAAATCTTGAGAGATTGCAAACCCAAGGGAGTTGATCCTTGAAAGGAATCCTAGATTGATTCTTTCCAAGAATAAGGTTATGTTCCCGTTGATCTTCCTTGATTAATGGCTTTGATGAACTTTCCGTCTTCTAGGCGTATCTGCTGGATCCCTTGATTTTCGCGTTCATTAATTTATCGTGATGTTGATTCCCTTCGATTTCGAGACCTTCCAGTAATAGCTTCCATCAATCTCTAATTGATTTCTCTTGCTAGATTTCCGCTACTTCTTCATTGCTGATCATTGATTATTTTCCTTTTGCTTCCGTCAATCTTCAATTGACTTTATACTGCATCTTCCTTTTTGCATCGCAGATCATTAAGTCATGTTGCTTGATCTATTTCTAACTAGTACGGCTTCTTTATTTCCTTGAGTCCTTGTGATCCTACATCAATTATAATATATTATTTTTCATCTTTGAAAATTATAACTAACAATCTCCCCCTTTTTGATGATGAAAAAAGTAATATATATATATATATATATATATATATATATATATATAAACAACAGTTGACTTTCCTGTAGTCGACTCCCCCTCAATGAGTGTGATGACATGCAGTCGACTCCTCCTTAATGATCTACAGTCGACTCCCCCTCAATGAGTGACTCCCCCTTAATGAGTGCGACAGTGTTCAGTTGACTCCAACCTTGTACCTACAAAATATGTATAGCCTTTCTCCCCCTTTTTTGACATCAGCAAAGAGGGGATATAAACACGCATATTATAGATACTAGGGCAAATTTTATAGGCATGATAGGCATGCAGAGTTATAGCAAAATAAAGCAAAAAAACATCCAACGACTGGTTATCCAGTTCATAATAGCAAAACACAAAAAATTGTTTGAAACTTCCACACTAACGATGCAAGAAGCAAGTGAGAGTGTTGCAAATTGCCTCCTTCAATTGTTCAAAGCTGGCATTGGTTGAGATTGTCACCCCATCAATCCTGTCGTGTACTTCCTTGAATGCTTTTACTGCGTTTTCTTTCAGTCTAAGAATTGCAACTCTTATCTTTGAAACATTAGATCCTGTCTCCTTGGAGATTGCATGGATGTCCCAACAGTAGACTGAGTGGTAGCAAGGAGATCCTTTGATGATGGTCAGCTTGTTGTCAATGGCAGTCAGTTTCTCAGCAAGATCAGGATCACTTACACTGTGATGGGAAACAGAGGCTTTGGTCTTGGGATCAGGTTGAACATGCTTGACTTCACCTTCTTGTTTATTAACCCGGGAGCCCTTTACACACTCATATCCCATACTAGCAAATGCCCAAGAATTGTAGGATTTTGAAATAGAGATGAAGGGGAATTATAGATGTTGTGAGCTTCTAGGATGTGAGTGATAGCCACACTAGAGGGCAAACTGGTGGGATCATCAGCACTTTCTATCATGAAGTTTATGACCCAAGAGGATAATTTAACCTTGAGTTTGGTCACAAGAAAGGTATCTCATTGAGAGAAGGTGAAGAAGGATATAGTATGAGAAAGCAGAGTAGTTGCAACAATGTGGGCTAGAACTCGAGTTTCAAAGCTAACATCACTGGGACATAACTGGTTAGAGAGGAATTTGGATGGACACCCAGCAATATAACGTTTCGCTTGATCAAAGTAGATTTCAAAATCATCAGGCCAAGAGTTTTTGAAAAGCATGGGAAAATCAGAGCACTTACACTGAAAAATTGAGTCGAACATGGCACAATCAAGAACAATGCGTTTACTTAAGACTAGGGATTCCAACTTGTCAGAATTGCTAGAATGAAGATTTGCATAAAACATTCTTACCAAGGGTTCATAGACTTTAGGAGGGGAACAGAGAGGAATTTTGACCATCTTTGGAAAACAATCAAATTCTTTAGCTTACAGTTTAGAGCTTCCATGTCATCAAGGTTGACTACTCTGCCATGAGCGATTGGATTGTCTTTCAAAGCAACGAAGAAATCCCTGTTTGGAGTATCCCAGAAATTGAGGTCAAATTCTAAGGAACTTGAAAGATCTATTTTGGATTTCTTGGGTGTAAAAGATTCAGGACGGTCTTCCAAAGGCCTTTTTCCTAGGGCTTTTTCTCCTAAGTGATGAGAGTGATCTGAAAATTCTGCCTGAGAAGAGGCGAAACCTTCTGAGTTGTCAGACCCTAGGTCTACTTGTTCAGGAGGCTGAGAACAGGGCTTTCCTCTGGAACGAGTACTTTCCTGGTGGAGGCAGAGGAATTTTTGGAGTGTTTGTCCATGGAATAAGTTATTGGGAGAGAGATTGAAGGGTTTTTGAGCGATGAGAACAATGGGGATTGAAAGAAGTGGTTCATAGATTAAAAGGGGATTCTGACGGTTGAGTACAAGAAAGGAAAGGGTGTCAGTGATCAGTCGTGATAATTGATTTTCCTTTGTTGAAAGCAACTGATGGGAAAAGAGAGGGAAATCAGAGCCGCTACATTAATGAATATAAACAGGCAAAATTAAAACATTAGGCATACAAGACTTACAAATATCACATAGGTCCTAATATTAATGATTAAGAGAAATAATGCCAAGTAATTCTCTAAAGAGCAAAATCTATCTTCAAGTAAGGGCTTAGTGAAAATATCTAATAATTGATCAGTAGTCCCAACAAATGATAATTCTATATCTCCCTTAAGAACATGATCTCTAATGTAATGATGTTTGATGTCTATATGCTTAGCCCTAGAGTGATGCACATGATTCTTTGAAAGACATATGGCACTAGAATTATCATAGAATATTTGAATAGGTTTAAAGAATAGTTCATAGTCACCCAATTGATGATACATCCATAATAACTATGCACAACATTGTCCAATGGAGATATATTCAACCTCCATTGTGGATAGTGCAACTGATCCTTATTTCTTACTGTTCCAAGATATCAGTGCTTTTCCAAGTAATTGACATGTTCCGCTGGTGTCACGATCCCAGTTTGCCCTCCATGAACTGTCGTGATGGCACCTAGTATCTACGACTAAGTAAGCTTAACAATTTGCGGAAAAAGGAAACGAAAGATAAAACCAACTAAAAACTGCAGAATAAACATAAATTGAACGTTTAAGATGCCGCTCGGCATATACAATAAAAACTCTCAAACTGAAATAACTCCCAAAACCCGGAATCTCATGAAATCACAAGCTAAGGATATTACATAGTGTTCTCACTCCAGAATATCTAAATCAAAGTGAATACAGAAGGGCTATAACTACTAGAGAGAATGGAAAGGGACTCCTCAGTCTGCGGACGCGGCAGATATACCTCAAAGTCTCTGGAGAATTGCCTCACCTCAAGGATGATAGGGCTGAGCCAAAGAACCTGGATCTGCACATGAAAAACATGCGCAGAGAGGGCATGAGTACACCATAGCGGTACTCAGTAAGTGCCAAGCCTAACCTCGGTCGGGTAGTGACGAGGAAAGTTAGGGCCTTACTGATTATAAATGAAAAAGAGTATAGAATATGACAGTATAATTAAGTGCTAACAGTATGAAGTAACACAGGGTAATAAGAATAACTACAACTACAGCAAAGAGAGACAACACAGAGAGAATATAACTCCACAAAGCAATAGCAAACGGGGATCTCCCAGGATACCGTCCTGTAGTCCCCAAATGTAAATATCCAATGGATCTCCCGGGTGTCGTCTCGTAGTCCAACTCATAGTGCGCGGGGAACTATCAGAATCCTAATCCGTAGTCCCAAATGTAAATACTCAGTACTGGGGGAATCTACCGGGTGCAGTCCCGTAGTTCCAAGATAAATGTGCAGGGGGATCTACCGGAATACAAATCCGTAGTCCCAAAGTAAACATGCAGGGGGATCTCTCGGGATACCCTCCCGTAGTCCCAAAATAAACACACAGCAGCAACACGAAGAATATTCATTTCAATCCAAATTTCGTACCGAGGTAAAACAGGTATTTCTAACCTAGCATGCTGCACAGAATTCAATTAAAGTAGTTTGAGCAAGTAAGGCAATTAAGTCAATTAGACATGCTCCCTTAAGCTAATAGTAGGCTAAATTGAAAGTAGTATAAAGAGGGAAAGAAAACACAGTTATAGTTACTTAATGAAAAAAGGATTTTCAACGACTAGAACAAGTACACACTTGTCACCTCACGTACAAGGCATTTCACATATCAACAATACCAAATCCTAAGGGGAGTTCCCCCACACAAGGTTAGGCAAGCCACTTACCTCGAACCAGCTCAATCAACTCGAAACCACGTTCTTGCCACGAGTACCCGACTCCAAATGGCCCAAATCTATTAAAGTAATTGCATAATGTAAATATAACTTCAAGTAACTAATTCAACTAATTAATTCTAAGCTAATACGCGAAATTAGGAAAAATGACCAAAACACCCCCGGGCCCACGTCTCGGAATCGGGTAAAATTTACAAATTCGGAATCCCCACACTCTCACGAGTTCAGTCATACCAAAAGTACCAAAATCGGACCTCAAATGGTCCCTCAAATCACCACTCAAAGCTCTCCAATTAACCAAGCCCTAACCCCCAATTTACCACTGATTTTCCTTCAAATTTCATGCTTACAATGATAAAAATCACCATAATAACGAGCTTAAGGACCAAAGACCTTACCTCAATGAATCCCTCCGAAAATCTCCCTTGAAAATGCCCTCCAAAGCTACACCCTAAATGAAAAATTGAGAGAAATGGTCAAAAATCGCGAAGGGTGGAATTTATAGTTTCTGCCCTAACAAAACTGCACCTGCGGTTAAATAGTCGCACCTGCGGACCCGCACTTGCGGTCCAAGGTGCGCACCTGCGAACTTCACTTAAAACACCAGGGCCGCACCTGCGCAAGAAATCCCATATCTACGCAATCGCAGGTGCGACCAGGACCTCACTTCTGCAATCCCAGCCTGCCCCTCTCTTGGCCGCATCTGTGGTCCCCTAGCCGCAGGTGCGGTTATGACAGCAACAGAACTCCTTCAGCTGCCAAACTCAACTCAAAATCACCCGTTAACCACCCGAAATCACCCCGAGGCCCCCGGGACCTCAACCAAAGGCACGAGCAAGTCATATACCACCTTCCAAACTTGTACCGATCCTCAAAACACCTAAAACAACATCGAAACATCGAATTAACCATGGATTCAAGCCTAAAAACTCTAAAGACTCCCGAATTACGCTTTCAATCAAAAAGTCTATCAAACCTCGTCCGAATGACCTGAAACTTTGCACACACATCCCAAACGACACAACGGACCTACTGCGACTTCCGAAACTCCATTCCAACCCCGATATCAAAATCTCACTACCGAAACGGAAACTTCAAAAATTCAACTTTCGGCATTTCAAGCCTAATTAAGCTACGGGCCTCCAAAACACAATTTGAACACGCCCCTAAGCCCGAAATCACGCAATGGAGCTAACAGAACCGATGGAATTCCATTCCGAGGCTGTCTTCACCCTGTTCCGACTATAATCCAAAAGCTTAAACTCTCATTTAGGAACTAAGTGTCCCAAAACACTCCGAAATTCAAAACGAACCTTCCCGACAATTTACAATAGCAGAAACAAACACGGGGAATGCAGTTTATAGGGGATGGGGGCGTTTATTCTTAAAACGACCGGCCGGGTTGTTACATCCTCCCCCTCTTAAAACATTCGTTCGTCCTCGAACGAGCATAGAGACATACCTGAAGTAGTGAAAAGATGAGGGTAACGGCTGCGCATATCCTGCTCGGTCTCCCAAGTCGCCTCCTCGACCTGTTGACCCCGCCACTGAACCTTCACTGATGCAATGTTCTTTGACCTCAACTTTCGAACCTGCCTGTCCAATATTGCCACCGGCTCCTCAAGATAGGATAGATCCTTGTCCAACTGGACTGAATTGAATTCCAACACGTGTGACGGATCTCCGTGATACTTCCGGATCATCGAAACATGAGATACCAGATGAACTCCTGCCAAGCTGGGAGGTAAGGCAAGCTCATAAGCAACCTCCCCAACACGTCTCAATATCTCAAAAGGACCAATAAACCTCGGACTCAACTTCCTTTTCTTCCCAAATCTCATAACGCCCTTCATAGGCGAAACCCGAAGCAAGACCCACTCTCCAACCATATAGGAAACATCACGAACCTTACGGTCCGCATAACTCTTCTGTCTAGACTGGGTTGTACGGAGTCTATCCTGAATTACCTTAACCTTCTCCAAAGCATCCTGAACCAAGTCTGTGCCCAATAATCTAGCATCACCCGGCTCAAACCAACCCACAGGGGATCTACAC